CGTTTGTCGTCCTGAGTTCCGAGTTATGGAAATTACCATCTTACCACTCATGGATCAGAGTTTGAAGATACACTCTCTGCGTTTTTGCACGAATACTTGGTTCGGTTGAAGGTCGCCGAAAGAGAGGTAGAGAGAGGGTGCAAACTGTGCTGGAAGGGATTATGACATGCCCGTCTTGCTAACATGCTCTCGATCCTTTTCATGGACGCCGGTGATCCTTCGGAACAGATAACGATGAGAGTGATCCGATGTACAGCCGTTGCAAGTTTTGATAGAAAACAAACGGTGACAGAGCATCAGGAACGCCACGGGGATCAAGTCTAGCTAAGCTGGCGACGGCCTTCAAACTGACACACGAGTCGTTTGCCGTAAACTAAAGTGTCGAACAAGACCACGATCTCGAACTCAAAAAGATTCTAGTTCAGAATCCACCAACAGCCATCTCGTTTTTCATTCTTACTTCATTGGGACCCATCAATACAGTCGAGCCTCCAGAGTTCTCAGATCGAAACTCAGAAAATACAAGATTACAATATGAAATAGGAAGTCCGGACCTTCTCCCTTCTCAGAAAAAGCTTCGAGGAATCAACTTTTCAGAGGGATCAAACCTCAACTCATAAGATCTCGCAAAAGCTCCCGGAATTCGGAACTCGGTTAGCGATCACTCTTACTACAGATCAGCTTCTAGCTGACATATCTGCATTGATGTGTAATCCTCCCTACTAATGGCAAATTGAGTTACAGTTTGCCGAAATGAAATTGCATCAGTCGTACCTAAGAAATCTTTGATTCTTCAGTGACTTATCCGCATACAAGTTTGATCTTTCTGAGCCTGGTAACTGAGCGAGGCTGGTGATATTCAAAATCTGAATCGGATACAAATCCCAAATTGACAACTCGAGACTGCCATATTCACAAGCAATACCTAATAGGAAGACCATACCATATCAGAAGAACAGCTGAGAAATAAAAGCGGATAGTATGAGAAAGTTTCGAGGCTAAAGATGAAATCAGATAAGATAATTTAAAAAGAATAGCAGTACGTTTGAGCCTCGATTATTGGCAAGAGCACTGCTCGTTGGTTCCCCAACAACTGGAAGGAGAAGACCAATATTTGCAATAGGAATTATCCTTCAGACTGGCACAGCGCAAATCCTCTTCATAGCATCCACCTGCAGTAGCTGCTACTGTTGTTGACGCAGGAACACTATCGCAGCTGCAAGGCTCATCGCTTCCCCAACAGACTGTTGGAAGCTTATATGTCATGCAAAACGAGCCAGAGTAGCCTTGTGAGCACTTTCTATCAGCCTCCTCACAGTCATTCGAAGGCGAAGATGTTTTCGTAGTAGAAACCCTAGTAGTCGTAGTGGTAGGGACCTCAGTAGTCGACGTGGTAGGGACCTCAGTAGTCGAAGTGGTAGGGACCTCAGTAGTCGTAGTGGTAGGGACCTCAGTAGTCGTAGTGGTAGGGACCTCAGTAGTCGATGTGGTAGGGACCTCAGTAGTCGTAGTGGTAGGGACCTCAGTAGTCGTAGTGGTAGGGACCTCAGTAGTCGATGTGGTAGGGACCTCAGTAGTCGTAGTGGTAGGGACCTCAGTAGTCGAAGTGGTAGGGACCTCAGTAGTCGTAGTGGTAGGGACCTCGGTAGAAGTAGTGGTAGGGACCTTAGTAGTCGTAGTGGTAGGGACCTCAGTAGTCGTAGTGGTAGGGACCTCAGTAGTCGATGTGGTATCTACTCCGCATATGTCGTCATCAATATCAATAGTCATCAGGTCAATGGCCGCAAAGTTGAACATGTCAATCCCATTATATCGACACTTCACTTGTTGAAGTCTTGGATAAGTATCCGCATTAGGGAAATACTGACTGATCCACTCACGGCCTTCAGCCAAGTCAGAATCGATGTAATTCTGAAAGGCCTCACCGAGCGACACTGGAAAGACCGAGTCATAAGTCTGCTGAATCCATGCAAGTTTATCAGTGGGAGTTGGCTCATCCCTATCCCAAATAGCCAACATTTGCAGGTGCCACCCGGGCGTTCGGTGATCGAAAGAGGTACACTTGCCAGCACTTGGGTCACAGTCCTCGGGCTCTTCTGACATGGCATGACCGTAGAAGTCTAAGAGCATCACACAATCACCAGCATTTTGACACACTGGGTCGACCGAGGCTTCAGCGAGATACTCCAAAGTTTCAATGCTCATATCCTTGGGGAAGTAGATGGACTTCGCCTTATAGGGGCCACCGTAAACATCTCTATCAAATGACCAACACTTTTCCATAGCATCTTGGAGATCCTCCTCACT